ATCTTTTGGTATGTTATCGTCATCGTTAGGAAGGAACTCGTTAAATATCTTTAAGCCATTAGAGATATTTTATATTCTGTTACAAATACAAGAGCTCCAAAGAAAAAAAAAAAAAAAAAATTCACACACATGTATCAATGCTTTTTTGATTCTCGAATTTTTGTGATTCTTCATTGGAAATTGCTGAGCGCAGTGAACTATTTATGAAAACAAATTTTGTTAACATATCATTTGTTTCCATATAAAATACTGTAAAAAAAATTTGGTGTGCCAATGTTTTTTTTTTTTTTGATTCACTGTATATGTAGAGGCAATATTGCACGAGATGCATACATACATGTTCCATGTGTGGAACATGAAGTTAATGTAACATCAACGTGAAGTTAATAATTTTAAACCTGCACTGTTAATAATTTTATCAGTAATGAATTAACCTACACTGCAGTTAATAACGTTAACAGCACTGTTACTATTAATAGTACCTACGTATTATCTTAGAAATCGATGCAACGAGAAGTTAATAATTTTAAACCTGCACTGTTAATAATTTTAACCGTAATGAATTAACCTACACTGTAGTTAATAACGTTAACATCACTGTTACTATTAACAGTACCTACGTATTATTTTAGAAATCGATGCAACGTGAAGTTAATAATTTTAAACCTGCACTGTTAATAATTTTAACAGTAATGAATTAACCTACACTGCAGTTAATAACGTTAACAGCACTGTTACTATTAACAGTACCTACGTATTATTTTAGAAATCGATGCAACGAGAAGTTAATAATTATAAACCTACACTGTTAATAATTTTAACAGTAACGAATTAACCTACACTGCAGTTAATAACGTTAACAGCACTGTTACTATTAACAGTACCTACGTATTATCTTAGAAATCGATGCAACGAGAAGTTAATAATTTTAAACCTGCACTGTCAATAATTTTGACCGTATTGAATTAACCTACGCTGTAGTTAATAACGTTAACATCACTGTTACTATTAACAGTACCTACGTATTATCTTAGAAATCGATGCAACGAGAAGTTAATAATTTTAAACCTGCACTGTTAATAATTTTAACAGTAATGAATTAACCTACACTGCAGTTAATAACAGCACTGTTACTATTAACAGTACCTACGTATTATCTTAGAAATCGATGCAACGTGAAGTTAATAATTATAAACCTGCACCGTTAATAATTTTAACCGTAATGAATTAACCTACACTGCAGTTAATAACGTTACCATCACTGTTACTATTAACAATACCTACGTATTATCTTAGAAATCGATCCAACGTGAAGTTAATAATTTTAAACCTGCACTGTTAATAATTTTAACCGTAATGAAGTAACCTACACTGCAGTTAATAACGTTAACATCACTGTTTCTATTAACAGTACCTACGTATTATCTTAGAAATCGATGCAACGTGAAGTTAATAATTATAAAACTGCACTGTTAATAATTTTAACAGTAATGAATTAACCTACACTGTAGTTAATAACGTTAACATCACTGTTACTATTAACAATACCTACGTATTATCTTAGAAATCGTTAATACGTATGTACACCATTCGTTAATTTCTCGCTCTCTCTCTCTCTCTCTCTCTCTGCTTATTTATCATCCATCTCGCGCCGTCTTAATCCGTCATCTATCTACGCGAGCACATATCTGCGAAGCATATCATCGGCAGAATGTTTTAATAAGAAGATTTAATCAACTGCGTTGGTGAATTCACGCACTGTTCGTTTCTGCGGCCTTGGGGCGCTTACGTACGTCTTTGTTATACCTCTGCGCTTAAAGATACGGCACGTTTGCAATAATAATATGTACACACGTGACGCATCGTCAGCCAGTTCGTTCGTTCGACGACTGGCGATAAAAAAAGACACACGTTGCGCGGAAGTGAAACGAAACCGAAGAAAGAAGATCCCCGATACCGAGAGATCGGACATGTATATGTTCAATTTGACGTTACGTTCACAAGTTGACAGCGTTTTGGCGATCGATTATGCGGCAATCAGCGAAAATTATTCGGGTTAACAACAACCACGTGTGCCAGATCGTCTGCTGCTCCGTCAACGGGAAAGCTAAGCACGCTCGTAATTCAATTCTTTAAATTCTGCCTGCATTAAGCGCGCAATTAATGTTAATTGCGAATGTAAAACTCGAGAGATGCTTTCGGAGATAGCAACAAACGCGTTTTACGTTATTTATACGGGACATTAAAGCGCTTGTAAAATGAGCTTATTATCGCATGGCAATATGGAACGCTCCACAGGTATTTGTTAATTATCATAATACGTACAATCTTCGAGAGTGGAAGGTCTTTCGCGCAAACTTTTCATGCGAAAGAACGCGTATGTGCGCTTTAGTTTTTTTTTTTTTTTTTTTTTTGCGGACATGTTTTAGTAATTTCGAGATTGAAAGGACCGAGGAACGCCTTTGATCTCGAGCGACGGGAAGAAGAGAAATTTTCGAAGGAAAAAAAGAAATGAAAAGAAAGAAGAAAAAAAGATGAAGAAAAGACGGAAAAGAGCTTTGAAAACACGCGTGTCTACGTATATTTCTCTGCGGTGACTCGAGTGGCTCGAAATATGTATCGGGGGAATAAATCGACGGAACAATGAACCTGTACAGAGGCGAGTCGAATCCATCGCTTTTGTGCTTACTGATATGAAACTTCGTTAAAAGTTTCGTTTTAACGTTACGGTCATCCTTGTAATTATTTATCGCGTGTGGAAAGACCGTTCCTTATCGACCAAAGCGTGACGTTTGCTACCACGAGTACTAAACTTTGGCCTCTATTATTTTTTTTCTTTTCGGTACCTGCTACTAATTCGCGAAAATTAGCAAATATATCGTTAAAGCATACACACACACACACACACACATATATATATTTACGACACTAAGCGCAACGTGTTTAGCCTTCGAAATCGTTCAGCAAGATTGACGTGACGTCCTCGCGACATAGTCTTATTTGGAGTCATAGTGGTACCAGTAGCATATTCAGTTACTAACTTGCGAAACACAATAGCCGCCTCGTGGCTAGACGTGCGTGAAATGCGAACTGTTTGGTCATTAATTAACAATGCTGTAATTAGCAGGACGCTTACGCGCCATTTTTGCTCTCCTCCCCCCTTTTTTTTCTTTCGGTTCCGAGGACAGGATGAAATTTAGTAAAACGGAATATACGCGTGTTCGAAACACGTGTGCGACTAGAAACTCGAAATGATTAGCACGATGGGGACTTTGTTCTATTCGAAAAATACACCAAAAACGCTATCGGCGAGAAGGAAATTGAACTATAAACACTGATCACAAGTTCCTGGAAGAGATGACTTATCGTTAACGAGAGAAAAGCGCGTTGGAATTGTTCGATCGTATCGAAAGCAAACAGCTGACAACCTTTAATCGTTGACCATTTGTTGCAACTTTTTAATTAAAACGCTCGATTTTATTGTATATTAACTCCGTTCAACGCAAACACATTTATTCGTTACGTTGAACAGCGTTGGACACTGGCTCGAGTATTTGTTCGTTCGATTTAATGCATGCATGTACCAGGCGCAGGCTCGACAATCAGCATTAAAATTTCACTTATAATATGGGACGCGGAACAATAATCACGATTTTAAGTAATCGGTCACGCGCGCGAGCGAAATCGATTTCTGCAGAGCAAACACGGACAAAGCAAGATGTTTATCCATCGTGTAGTTAATTAACTGCGAAGTTATTCCGTCGGTGATAGTAATCAGCGCACGCTCGATAACAATTCGATCAAAAATTTATTTGTTATTGGCGACGAGTTTGTTCAAGATTGACTTGTTAAACGCACGAACGTATGTTCTCTCTCTCTTTTTTTTTTTTTTTCTTTTTTACTGATCATCTTGAAACTCTCGTCGTCAACGAATTCACAATGGTGATTAAAGAACGAACGTGCTAACTTTGTGCTAAAATATATACGCGCCGCAGAGTATAGAGTTATCACGAATGATCGATAGCCGTTATCTTCCTAATTTGAAAAGCCGAGTTTGCTAATCTCGTACTCGGGTAAAACTTGGAAACTTTTTTCACGACCATAGACTCTTAAACTAGTGGTCTTAAGTACTGCGTTTGTGCAAGAGTTCCAAGCAATATATACCTAAATGGTACTGAGTTTACCTTGACTCGAACGATTCTACCTGTGATCGATCTGCGGCCTAGATTACGTAAATTCTGAAACGCCATAAACAGACGCGTGTAATACTTTAATTAGTTATTATGGCACGATGTGTCATTAAAACGACGTCACGATAGAACAGTAATCTATCATCTCGATCTTTTTACCTCTAACAGTTGCGTCTTCTATGCTCTCTCTCGTGGAAATTTAAGGTGAGAAAATTCAACGTGAGAAAAAAAAAAAAAAAAAGAAAAACAAATACAAACTCGAGATAAAATATTTACAACAAGAGAATTATATTTGTTAATGAAACTGGCAAACTAACTGAATGACCTGGCTGGAATTTTCCAGTGTTAAGAGGATGAACGAATTATCTTTTTCGAGTTGGATTATACCCAACGCTAGGCAGCTGTAAAGCTCGAGTGTAACCACGTACGTTCATTTCGAAGCAAAGTATTACCATATAACTGCATTTGTTGGCAACTAATTACCATTATCTAGCGAAAAAGTAGGACGTTTTAACGATTACTTTATATCATTAACCCTCTCTCCACTGTACTAATTTCTTAACGAGTTAACTGTACGTACAAATTAATTCGTCGCGGTGGATCGAGAAGAAATTGTGCGGCATATTTTCACAGCAATTTGGTACGTTAAAATAAAATTATGATTCCAGGTAAATTGTATCGTTCGCAAGCGTTCAACAGAAATTTATATACACTCGTCTGCTGAACAATCGTCGGGGCGAAAAGATTTGTCTTAAAATTAAGCTTATATTCGGTTACGTTTTTACGTTTTAATTAAAGGTATGAGGCTACCTGGAACGGAATAAGGCGTATTTTGCGGCTGCGGTGCCCAGTAGGCCTGACTGATCGCAGGATAATGGCTTTTCGATCCGAGGCTGGGCCCGGCATACTGCTTCTTGCTTTTCATCGCCATCGTCGCCCTCTCCTCCTCCACGTGCACCGTGCGGCGGGAAATTTGAAACGACACACACGCGGCACGCAACCTCGATAATACTAACCTCGCCTCTTTTCAACGTGAAACGTATCACTCTGGCTTCACGAAACTCACTGCGTAAACATTCGTCAAGGTCGACGAAACGAAACGGATAATTTCCAACAACACACAACAACAACAAATGTCTTGTTTTCAGTTTTACACGCTACTTACTTCAGCCGTGTCGGGGACGCGAGTTGAAACGAAATCACGTACACGAATGATCAATTATAAAGATCGTCGCACGCGTGTCCTACGTCCGATTTTCTTCGCCAGCCTTACATAATCGATGCACGAACGATGCTTATGCAACGTGGAGCAATCGGAATGGAACCAGGATCGTCGGTGCGAGGCTCGTTTCTGACGTATCGACGACTTGTCCGGTCGGCCCGATCGCCAATCAAAATAAGACGGCGTTTCTCCATCAAGCGGACACGACGACGACCACTCTTCTGTCCCTTCCATCGATTCCACCAGAATTCACCGTAACGATCGATCGCCCGTGCCCATTTGGATTTAATGCCGGCCGATCGCGTGCACTTTAATCTAGAACAAATACGCCGGAATAACGATGGTGGACAAGCCGTCGGTGCGAAGACACTCTGACTCGAGCACTCGAAAATAGATGCCGTCTCCGCTGTTCCAGGAACTTTTGCCTGGCGTGTCTGTGACTAACGATGATAAGGCACGCGACGACGCGACCACGATCCCTTCTGTATCCAGCGTGATCCACCTTTCTCCATAAAAACTTCCGTCGATCGCGGAGCTTAACTCGAGCTCTTAACGATTCGCTAGCTGACCGTGGCTCGTTCGATTTGGCCAGTTATCAAGGGTGGTATATTTCTAGAAATTCTCTCTTCACTCGGCGTTGAGCGCGAGCGAGACACCGATGCTCGACACATTTGTTTACTTTGCTCTTACTTGTGTTGCTCGAAACAAAGAAATCCTCCGGGTAGGTTGGTGCACGTGACGTTTGTTTCTCTCTTTCGCCAAATAACATCGACGAGGATTCAGAGTCCATCGACAGCGTGACTCGTCGAAATCGAACTTTGTGAACCTGATACGCGCGTGTGCGTGTCTCGATTGTCAGGTGCGCGGCGAAAACTCGTGCGAAAAAAAAAAAATTCACTTCACTTCAAGACCGACCAGCGACGTATATATATATATATATATATATACACACACACCTATCGACGACGCGATCGATCGATCGATCGAACCGTCGAATCACAAGCCGCGACCGACAACGTTCGATAGCGCGACGCGCGCATACACGTTCATCGCGAAAATGTCGAACACGCGCGCACGTCCTATCACGTTCTCGCGTGCACCGCGCGAGTGGAACGGTGGGCATATACCGCGCGCGCACACGAGAAAACACGCGACCGTTGGTCTCCTACCGGTCGCCGTGCAAACGAACGAGTAGGTAGGTAGGTAGGTAGGTAGATAGGTCTCGGTTCGTCGCTCGACACTCAACAAGTGAGAGAACCGGCGTTCGCCTCAAGTTCCACCGCCACTCATCACTTCGTGCTTCTTCGTGCACTCACGACTGTCCTGTCCCTCTCTCCTGACACTTCTCTCTAGCGGCCGACTACCGGCTCTCCCACTTCTCGCTTCTCATGCTATCCCTGTCGCTCTCAACTCGTCTTTTACATCCTCTCGTGCGCCACCTTCTTTCTTCCCACCTCGCTCGCCGCTACCAACCCCATCCCTACCTCACCAGCCTTTTTTCTTTTTCTGGTTTCGCGCATCAAACGTTCAATTTCCGTTTGCGCGAGCTTCGCGCCGGGCCTCGACGAAAGTCCAACGCGCTTCGTTTCCTTTTTAACGAGTTCGTTTAATAATTCTGATGGAATTAAAATTATCGAGCGACGCCCGGGCTTCGCTTTGTTTGAACAGTGTCTCCTCGCCTTTACACGCGTATGGCAATGATACAAACGGTTGAAGAAAAAAACCGAGTGAACGTTCCACGGAGTGCTCGTTGCGCCGTCGAATAATATCGGTAGAACGAAGATTATTGAATTATTGCAAATAACTGTCTTAACGCTAGTTAACTTTGGATTTTTTATTTCCTTTTTCTTTCTTTCATAGTTGAATACGTATCTGACTAGCGTCGCGTCGCAATGAATATTAAAATCAAATTTCCTTGACACTAATCATGCTCTTTCTGTTTTTTTATTTGAATTTTTATGATGACTTTCTACAAATCACGAAATTTTCTATTTCTATCTTATTGTGGATACGATAAATATATTGCAACACTTTAATATAATATAATATAACATAATATAAAATAATATAAAATAAAATATAATATAATACAAAATAATATAAAATAAAATAAAATATAATACAAAATAATATAAAATAAAATAAAATATAATATAATAAAAAAATAAAATGTAATACAAAATAATATAAAATAAAATATAATATAAAATAATATAAAATATTATTCTATCTAATAATATAAAGTACTACGTACTTTTTCCTTAAAGTCAATCGTATATTTTTCTTTTGTTTCCACACTTTTGTGGTAATATACTACTCTTCGTTAGAACAAATTACGAAGCTTTCTTTCTATTTCTATCCTATAATTTTGCTATAAACATAGTAGTGCAGAATAGTAATAAAACAATTATAGAATAATTCTCAACTACGTCCGTATTAATAAATTATAAATTTTACGTGAATATTTAGCAATTTGTCAGCTTTTCGATAAGTGTCGTGAAGATAAATGAAAAATGACATGAATTGTCCCCCTTTGCGAGACAACGACGTTCATGAAATGACATATCAACGTAATACCTTAGTCGTCGACGCAACTGCATTGAAATACATTTATTTGTCACTATCGTTTGAACGTTTCATCTCGACTTGTCATCCCGGTTTTTCATAATTTTCCAACGTCAAGCAAATTCGTTTGTCAATAAAATCTGAAATAACCGCAATCGGCGACGAAACGGATTCACTTTGACGCGTCGCGTTTCGTGTTTTCTCAAACGTTTTGGCCGTCCTTCCCTTCCACGATGTACTACGAGATTAGATCATATCGCGTTCTAACTTAATATGTATGCTCCCCGCATTAAGATCGTGCGGCATCATCCGGCGAAAACAGAGCGGTCGATTGCTAGCCAAGAGAAGGATCGCACGATCGGCCAAAGACTCGCACACGTGACTTGCTTTGAACGTGAAACATTAATACAGTCGCGTTTTTCTGTCTTTTTTTTTACTCGTTAAAAAAAAAGCCTTCAGCTCTAAGTTATACATATACACGGTACGAACGTGATCTTGTGTCAAAGTCGAACAGTATAGCAACATTACTACTCGATAACTACAAACTCAAAGTATAGGACGAGTACTGAAATAAATCCGTAATTTTTTTAATTATATATTTATCATATTTTTATATATTTTATTATATTATATAATTTTGTATTTTATATTTTATTATATTATATATATTATATATATTTTATTATATTATAATATTTATTATATTCATATATTTATTGTAATATTTATTATATTCATATATTTTAATATTATATAACAGTAATAATTATTTTTAATATCATAATTAGTTAAATAAGCATATTATATTATAATTAGTATTAATAATATTATAATTAGTAAAATTAGTTTTTTCTTATATTTTATTTTATTAAGAAAAAAAAAAAAAAGAAAATAGGTGAGAAAAAATTTTTGGCTCACTCTACAGCATATAAAATTCAATTCCTATTTCAGTTCTGTTTAGAACGTATGGTCTCGCTTTAGTAGCAACAGTACTGATAGAACAGTATGTCGCAGTATTCACAGTTGAAGAGCCAACCTTCTACATCTGAATCTGATTCAGACGGATTCAATCTGATTAAAAGTATAAGTGAAAAAAATAAGAATGACAAGGTTCTGTGTCATCGCGAGGAAAAGAAAGAGAAAAGTACATACGTATGTACGTACGTACTTTCGTTATATAAATGCGACCATGCGATACGATTTAATTTTATGCTTATAGAGACGTTCGCGGGACATTCGTGCAACTAACGTGAAATGGCAAGTGATAACCATCGACGACACGCATGTTACGTTGCTGAAGGGGGAATCTGACGAATCGCGGGAACTCATTGCGATTCTGCCGTGTCCTCATCCTCCTTTTATCCCATGCACTTGCAAACTCCTTGTTTTCGGATTTCCGACTTGCGGCGCAAATACAAAAAAAAAAAAAGAAAAGAAAAGAAAAAAATCGAGTTCCAAAACGCAACAGTACGTTTGCATTGTTTCGCGGCTGCAGCAACCGGTGAAAACAACATTGTCGTTATCTTTTATAAACTTGAGGTTATTACTATGAAGTTTTATACAGTGTTCAGGTGGTAAAGCGAAAGGACTGCTATTGCCTGTTTATAGTGATAATTTGTTTAATGAAAAAGATCGATAAAATCGTCGTTTAGTGAAATTAAATTAAATTTTCGCGGGATATTAATTCGTTTCTCTACAAATTGTTTGATTAATGTGTCAGTAGATATATATATATATACACTAATTAATGCTCTCGTGGTTTTCTAATTACAGAAGATCGGAGCTTTTCGCAAAGTGTACATGCACGTCTCGTCGTCGCTGCGTGTCAGGATGAGTAATTTTATTTTGACACTTGTAATTGAGTTAGAATGGTTAGGGCGCTTCAACGTTGATAAACGATAATTGATATTTGTGGCGCGTGCGACGCTAACCCAGCATGGAAAATATATATACGTTCGCCGGCAGGGCCAGAAATATAATTGCACTTGTTTGCCGGAAAGATTCCGTGCCAACAAGTGATGATGAGTCATGCTTGATTATCATTTAGGCGCGGATACGTTCATTTAGACCAATTCGGTCGACAAATATCTGAAAGAGAGATTTGAATTGAAAAATCCCTTTCTTTTTTTAAATCTGAATTCGCAGTTCGAGACGACGTACCTTTTTTTTTTTTTTTTTTTCTTGGAAAAATGAGAATTTCGTACTGCGAAAACATCTTGTTCTTTCGCATATGTTTCTTCGTTCATCGCGAACTGAGAGTCAATCAGTACTAATCTTTCTATTTCGTTTCTTTTCAGAGTAACGTGTTTCCGTTCGTAATGGTAACCAAACTGTCCGTCGATCTTCTGCGAAGCTATTGAATTATTTAAAAGCAACACAACAACGGTTATCTCATACAATGCAGATTCTTTTTTTTTTTGCCAGTCAACGTTTCAGATCTATCGCGCGCGGTCTATGGAATAACGTTTCCATCTCTGGTAAATATAAATGGCTTTCAACGCTTCTGCGCATTACAAACACATAAATGAATAAAATTATGTTAATTTCAGCAAATTTTCAGTAAACACGAGAGTTTCGAATGCAGTGTACCTTACAATTCTACAAATTTTCAAATTCGTAAACGTTACGAGACCACGACGTTATATATCTTCCATTCTCATTCGAAGCGTAAATTTTTTACTTTTGACTTTTTTTTTTTAAATAATTGCAACAGCAACGTAAAGTTCAGTATGAATTTTCAAAAATTTTATTCTCACCTATTTTTTTTTTTTTTTTTGGAATATCTACATTATTTTCGATTACAGCATACCAGTTGCTAAATTATCTTACGCTGTTTATAAGGGAAATTTAATTTTGGCGTAAACGCCAAGGCAAATAAAACACGTTCCGCGTTCGACACGTTAAATATACGATGATCCAGGCATGTGTGTGTGTGTGTGTGTTTTGTGTACCTACGCTTTGGCGTGCCTCGGTTTTCACGGCGAAAACATCGATAAATCGATCATCGTTTTTGTTTTTAGTTCACCGTAACACAGTAGGTTAGAGTTTGCAAATCAATTTTCCCCACGTAAATTTGCTGCACGATGCGCGCAGCTGCCCACTAAACTGATATTCATTAATAAATTATCGAACCAGCAAGAGCTGTCGTCGCGGTAAAAAATTCCTGATGGCAAAAAAAATTGAATTCTTCTCGAAACACTGACTTTTATTGTGCCTTACGAAAGACACAATAATTGAGATTTCAAGAGCAGGTAAATTATTACACGTGGACTCACCACTTTTGAATTTTTACTTCGTTACCGTAATTCGATGAAAAATTTGAGAGATTTGAGATGCTGCGTTCTATCATCCTATAACATTTCAGATTACGTCAACAGCAACAATTGGAAACTTCCAATTCGTTTTACCTGATCAATCTATTATCATTTTCCATCCTCGATCTGTTTTCACCTCGCTTCAATGAAAAAGAAAAAGCTGCAACAAATCATTCTCGATACTTCCACCATCCAGCTCACCCGTGAAATCTCACCAAGTTCCTATGTACAATTCAAAACACTCGAACACAATGGTCGGTTCCACTAACCGAACTCTCGATCGCGTGTTTACAGAGAGACCTCTCCATTCCTCCCTTCTACATTTTAATTTCGCGCAAAAGAGGCAGAAACAACATGGCACGGGATGTATAACCGGTGAAAGAGATGCAACGACGTTGTAAAATCAGTCGGGAAGTCCAACGTCTGGTACGTTGTATTTTCTGAGAAGATAAGGGCTGCCTTGTCATCGATAATTATAAACTTTTCACGCGAACAGTATTATCAGACAATATTAGCTTCTTCGCTACCTCAACAAGCGTGTAAGGTCTTGATCAACT